TGCATCCGATTGAAATAGGCACAAAGATCACAAAGCAAGATTCCCGCAACTTGCCTGCCGTTGGTGGTCTTTGTAGATTCCGCATGGATGACCATCCTGCTTTTAGGTGAATGCTCCAGCTACCCTGATACCACTCTGCTGGTTTTAGCCCGGAAAGGTCCCTTGATCACCGGTCTTTGTTCTATATAAGGGTTTTGATTGCATTTCTTCTGTTCGCTGTGACCCCTTTTGATGACCACCCAACAAAGTTTTATAGAAAATAGGCTCCCATTCATGGCTCTGGTTCGACTGCCGCTTAGCCACCGAGGACCTACGCATCGATCTTTCGCACGCTCCCGCCTGTCCGCTGGCGCCCCGAGACATGCCCCTGAACGCACCCGCACTCGGAGCCGTCGCGCTGAATTGGTGAAATGGTGAAATATGTTTCTTCCCAACGCATTCAACGCATTCAACTGGGTGATTCGAAGCTGTTTGTTTACAGCGAAGGTAGATCTCGAACCATGAATCTTGCTTCACCAGCAAGCCTGTGAGAAACATGGCCTCTGGAAGTCTGTGTGGCCGCTCCCAGGCAGGTGAGTGGAACTCGGGCGGTTGCTCTCCAGGGACCTGGTAGCCATGAACGTCAGAAGAAAACCTCACCTTAGGGCTCGTTTGCTTGACAAAATCAAACATCGCTCCATGCATCCTAACACGAACTGTCAGTGTTGTACAGTCCACCGTCTTGGGTTTAGTTTACGAGGTAGACATTTCTGGAATTTGCCGATCACCGAAGACTGGGTGGGATGCAAAGGATCCTTCGCTTTTATTTTGAGCCCGGTTTGCGGCAAGAAACATTGCCCGGAGATTCCTCATTGGATTCCAAGTCATCCTCTGCACCAGCCTCCAGAGTTGCACACATAAAGAGTGCGGTGCTTTTAGCAAACTCACGGATGATCTTTCATGAAAACAAAGAGACAGAGCAGCAGGGAGAATCTAACAAGCCGCGAAAGCTGACCAAGAAAGCTCTCTTCCATTTGGCTTCAACTTCAGCCATGAGATTGCTGAGCTGTGGCCTCAAGTTCATCGTCAACTTCCTCGAACTCTTCATCCATGCCCTGGCGGGAGTCGATGGCATCCGGCGCTGACCAGCAGCATCAAAGGACTCTCAGCTTCCACACATAGCTGCTAGGGCAGTGACAGCAGCATTTGTAGCAACAACAAAAGCATGGTTGTAGGTCACCGTAACAGAAAAAGTTTCTACTAGTAACAACTGCTTCGCTAGTAGTAACAGGTGCCTTACTAGTAGTAACAAGAAGCTACTAGGAACAAGTGCATCGCTTCTAGTAACAAGTGCCTTACTACTAGGAACAAGAAGCTATTAGTAACAAGAAGCTCATGTTTTCATGTCTGTCAGTGCGGTGCTGACTTTTGTCCCAGACCTGTGTACTTCACCGTCTTTGGATCGAAACTGGATGAAACTAGCAGGCCTGAATCCATTCAAGTTGGCCCACCTGACTCCTAAGCTCTGTTTCCTCACCTTCTCGCCAAGCTCGTCCTCTTCCATGAATCCGTCATCCAGCTCATCCTGACACCGACACTGGCGTGTCCCGGTGCTTTTGGGGTGTTTCAAGTTGGACATCGCCCCCCCTGCCTCCTCATCCTGTTGGTCCTCCCCGAAGTCGACATCCCAATCTTCGGGAAACTCCAAGGCTTCTCTCCAAGCAAGATCTTTCGTTGGATCCATGGCGGGCAAGGTCTGAGGGTTCGCCCCGAATTCTCGACGAAACGATGTGTTTCATGTCTGGCTATGACGTAGCCCAGTCAAGTTTGATTTGCAAACAATTGGGCATGTTGGAGGCATTCTCCAACATTCCACCATTGCAAGCCGGAGGGAAGGCTGAGTTAGGTTGGATGTCGAATGGGCAGATGAGGCTTGGTCAGTTTCATACCCAATGGTTCTCATGAAGCCAACCTCCCCATGTTTCTTGTTGTCTCTGTTCATGGAAATGCACTTGAAACAGTCTCTCTTTGATGTCCCTCGGTTTAGTTCTCAACCCCACTCCAAGTCTGATGCTCTTTACAAGGTCTGTACCATCCAGGGTTTAGCACTGAGGTATAAACGTGGCTGCGCAAAACGCAAACAGTTGTTAACAGTTAAGAGTTCACTGAAAGTGGTGGCACGAGCATGCCATCATCGAACCTGATATGATTGTCTTGAAAGTTGAGTGGAAGCATGCTTCCACACTTCTTGTTCAGGCCCAGAAGCAAACGGTGAAGCAAAGGGTGGCACCAACTTGAAAATGCAGCAGTGTACATCACTACACACCTTTTGCAAGTATATGTAATGTATATACAGTAAATATATAATCAATTCAGGAGGTTCCAGGTATCTGAAATGATGCGGGAGAGAACAAAGGAACAGGCGACATCGGTCTTTCCCAAATTTTCTACTCTGCACAGGTCCATCAGCATCACCTTCACCTCCTTCGGTTTGACCTTGGTTGATGGTCCCTACAGATTTAGGCCACCGTGTTCAAACTTCCCAAATAGCAGGTCACTTTGTGGGAAGACAACTCCCGCAGCGAAGATCATTGCTGGCGTTTAGTTGCCTATGTGACCCCCTGTTTGTACCGTTTAGTTGCTCTGCAACAGCATGTTGTGATGAGTGAGCCTACATTGTTCCCCCGGTTGAGTATTCGAAGGTTTTGTCCGTTGATTAGCCGTTTCTTGAAGTGCAATGTGGAGAAATTCTGTCCAAGTCTTGAGAAAACGAGACCAACAAGCTTCACAAGGGGAGGTCCACTCCAATCATTTTTTGACTCATAAACATGCCGCACCTGACATAAAAATGGTGTGTGTATGTGTGGGTGTGGGTGTTCTAGCATTTGTGCTGACTTCTGCCATTCTGTACTGAGAACTGATGGACACTAATGCATACTTCAGCATCGAAGAACTTGCTTTGTGCCGCACAATGTCAAGCAGGAAAATCTATGGCAACAAATGTGAATCACTGCTTACAGTTCATCGTGGCAAAACTGGTAGAGCGTCGACAGCATACATGTTGCCAGCAGTAAAAACGGTTATATAGAGAAGTACACCGGGCCCTGAGGCCCTGAGGTGCATTTTGCGCTGAGATCCTGACGAGGCCTTGCATGTGCGCCTCGCTTTGGGCAAACCAGGCAAATCCGTAGCAAGGGTGTGTCACGATGTTGTCATCAAAAGCACAACAATCGACAGAACTGGTGAATTGGGCTTGAGGAGAACAGTGACTGGAGTCTGTAGAGATGTTCGTGTACCTCTTTGTACACCTCTCAAGTGCTGACATCTGATTGGATTTCTACAAGTACATGGAAGCTGTGCCGAGAGTCATCTGGTCACACAACACTTCTGGCATACAGTGCAATACAGCGAGATAAGTCACATTTTCCACTCGCAATCCAAATCGAATGCATTTGCGAACTTGCATGCCAATTATTGAGCGGCCCTTGCCCACACAAATGGCCACAGTGGTGCCTCATGGCTGCTGTGACATGATTGTGGCACGCGCTTTGTAGTCTGGGTCGAGGTTTTTCAGCAGCAAATCATGGATGAGTCTTTGCTCATTCTCTGCTGTGAAGGTGTGGCCCAGCTGCTTCAGCCGCGCCACAGTGCTCGATGCCGTTTCAGCCGCACCATGCACCAGCGCACGCTTTGCATCGACCTGTGCCACAGCCTGCTGTCGTGCAAGCATGGCTGATGCAATCTGCGAGTCATACTTGAGATCTGTGAGCTGAAACCTCAGCACCTGCACACCAGCGCTGAGGACCAACTTCTGCAGCTCATCTCCAAGCATCTGACTTGGAGCACCACTACGCAGCTCATCGTAGTGGAAACGTGAAGCCACTGTTCGAAGCACCATCGGAGCCATCTCAAGTGTGTACTTGTCTGGCTGCTCTGTATCTACAGTGGCCTTTTTGGCCGAAGTGATCTTGTAAGCGATGTTGCCACTGATGTAGATGGGATTTCCATCCTTGTCGGTGACACTCACCTCCCGGACGTCCAAGGTCTTGCGCACCGTGGTGACCCTCCGAATCACCACGCCACATGGATTCACAATGTGAATCCCGGGCTCATTGATGCTTCCAACATATTTACCCCAGACCAGTGCCGCGGCTCTTTCATTCTGTTTGATCATCTGTAGGGAACACAGCCAGCTGGGAAAGAAGACAGTGGAGAGAATGGCGCTTAGTGCATCCGGGCAACACAGATTCGCTTCAATATCCATCTCCTCTAAACTTTCCTCATCACTGTCCCTGTCCATCAATTGGGCACCCATGTACTGCTGATGTGGCTTCGCCATGCCAAGGCGCCCCACGCTGCACTTGAGTGCTTCCTTCTAAATCGAGGGGATGAGATTGAGCCACTACCACTGGTTCAGTCTTGCAAAATGCACGCCGGTTCAATTTGTTGTGTCGAATTTGTGGCTGGGCCATGGACCTCACTTACACTTCCTACACGACAATGTCTAATGCATTCTAATGCCACAGTTCACTGGTGTCTTACTCGGAGACCTGGCATGCCAGCTATGTGTACAAAACATGCTGTACGTGAACTCATTGAACCAAAAGCAGAATAAACAGCGTTGCAATTGGACAGTCAACATTACGTCCAAAGCCAGGGCTAAGGTTCGACCAGTTCGACACCCTCTTGCCTGAACCATCAGGTACATATTGCAAGAACCTACTGAAGCTACTGAGCAACTAAGCCAAATGCCCAAACGCTGGCAGCACCTTCCGCAAATTTAGCAAACACCATGATAAAGACGCACTATGGATCCGAGCATTCATTGGGATCCGTCACAAATCAAAAACACTTGCTTGTGCCCCACCCGTTCTGAACTTGACAAGCTCAGGAATTTGCAATATCCGAAAAGTCCACTCGGTGAACCTTCCGGTCTTTGTGTGTGTGTCTGCGAACAAACATTGAATGACTCAGCTTGCAACCCATCAGACAACATGTGATATGTGTAGGGGCGTGTACACGAATGTGTGTTTTGGCTGTAAATGTTGGTCTGGCCAAGACATCGTCACTCAAGGACTCACCAAGTATGTAAGGAATGGTTTTCATTGAGTCTTTCACAGGAGATAAAGCCAGCAGAAGAACAATCAATCTTCGCCTGTGACCAACCAAAATATGAACCGCAAGCCCTGTCTAAGGATCGTCCAATTACGGCCTGCTGCACTTTTCTTGTTCTCCGCTTAGTTTCAGCGAGTTGCAGTGCAAAGACGCTCCAGTGTTGCAGACGCGGGGATGTTGCTGTTCATGCCTTACAAAGGTAAAGCTTCAGAGACTTGAGAGGTGAGCATATGTTCCTTCGATGTCACCGGCCGAACGTCAAAGCTTAAGTCTTTGGACCTGAAGTGAGTCTTTTCCATGTCTTTCCCAGAGAAGCCCTCACCATCGACCACTGGATCCTCGAAACGGCCGGCCCAAGGCTTTCAGGGCCGGCGAAGTGATGAGAGATGCCTTGGAGGCGAACATCGAAACGAAAAATGTTCCTAATAGCGAACATTGCTTCTAGTAGTACGGCCAGGAGCCCCTAGTAGTAAGCTACTACCTTGGACGCAGGATAGCTCGCTTCTATGATTTGGTTCCTAGATTTTTTGAGAAACTTAACTCAGGTGCCAAAACGGTGCCTACTTAATTAAGCAAGGGAGGGAGTAAGCTCAATGCAACTAGTTAGCTTCTAGCAACTGGACGCAGGATAGCTCACGCCTTCAAGGAAGCGCGGGGAGCTTCCTTGAAGAAGCGTGAGCTATCCTGCGTCCAGTTATTAGAAGCTGACAGCAAAGGCGGGCAAAAGAGATTTGGTTCCTACATACGGTAGTACCTAGATTCTAGACTTGTAGAAACTTAACTCACGATGTGGTTCGCTTCACTGAGCACAAACAGGGCCAAGTGATGATGTCAGGACGACGTATCAGGACGACGTGTCGGCAAGACGTGTCGGGACGATGTCGGGATATCAAATGGATGTCCATTTTCGGATGGTCATTTTGTTTCACTAGACCAGTGGAGATGTTTGCAAGTTCTGTCCCCTATTTTAAAAAGGTCAGAACACAGGCAGTAACACGAAACATGTGATCAAAGTCTGGGTTTGTTTTACACTGCATAGTTCCCAAAAAAAAGCTGAAAGCATTGCGATTTGCTACATCGTCAAGTGTGGCTTCCTTTTTGATCTACTGTAAATTGATCCTGTCAGGAACTTGGATACTGCAAATGTAGGGTGTCCAGGAACTGACACATTGCAACAAGATAGTGATCCCGTCTGAGAAATGATCATCATATCCTAGCAGCGTCTTAGCAGCCATGCGAACGTTCAGTGGGCAGCATGGGCATGGCATTCCCATCCCCAACATGTCTACCACAAAGAAGCCACGTTTTTTTGGTGAAGCAGGACAACACTTGACATATGTGAGGTATAATATAGGTACCAATCAGGTTTTGGCCTCGCTACTAGGAGCAAGGACGCTACTAGGGGCTCCTGGCCGTACTACTAGGAGCAAGAAGCTACCAGTAACAAGGGCATCGCTACCCGCTACTAGGAGCGATCGGACGCTAATGAATGTCTTCGCCCAGCGACGCCACGGGCTCCGTGACGGGTTCTATCCGTGTGACGGGCTCTGCCATAGAGGCCGCCGCCTGCGTTCACGATGACGCCACCATCTGGGTGAGGAAATCTACATTAAAAGTAGATCCCCACAAAAATGTATTGGAAACCGTGCCACTATCCATCTGGGGATCACTATAGAATCTACAATTTTTTGTGATGTGTCCTACTCCAAATGAGAAAATTGGCATAGGATAGCCATGTTCGAGCCATGTCACCATGTTGGCTCTGCTTGCCAAATGGTATGGACCTCTGAAAACCTCTGGGAAGCCCACACGTTTGGGAGGTTTCTGTCACGCACATCTGAGGTATCTCCCAAGTCATTCACAATCCTTAAAGCAAATACGGGTGCGCTCAGACTTGCAACTGTACCTGCTCCAGACTGTTCCACTCAACTGAAACAACTTGAAACCTTTCAAGGATGAAAGAAAAACGGCTACCATCCTCCAAACCCACCAAAAATGGGCCACAGGCGGTGCCCGTTGAAGCAACATATTTTCTCTTGTCACTGAAAAGCACATTGGCACAGCGGCATAGTGGTGAGGGTTTGCTATAATCATGTGGGTTTTTGTTTTAGAAGAGGCCGGAGAAACTACCTTCCAATGCTTGGCTTCAGTACCCTACATTCTGAGACAAGCCCACCTAACATGGCCACGCCTCAGCCCGGCTTGGCGATTGTATTTCACGCGTCGGACGCTCTGGTGGCCTAACGCACGTGACGCTTCACGTCATCTCACGTCGGATTTTCGCGGTCGGAAAAGAAGACCTAATAGCAGTCCTAATCGCGACGGACTCCAACCAAAGAGCGATGGTCTCCAACGTAAGAGCAATGGCCTCCAACCCTCTACTAGCTATGAGCCTCTAACCCAATAGCGATGGCCTCCAACCTAAGAGGGATGGCCTTCAACCTACTAGCGATGGCTATATTAGACTTTTGGTCCTTGTCTTTCTTCTTTGTTTCCAATAGCAATGGCCTCCAACCTACTGGCGACGGCCTCCAACCGTAACCTAATAGTGCAATTCCAAGTTTTCAAGCCATCCGTGCACAACGAGATCAAGCCGATCTTTTCAAAAACGCGACTGGAGAGATTCAAGGACCCAAATGGGCACACCGCTCGCCTTGGGCTTGTGGGCACTCGCCCCCGGAGCTCCGCCGGGCCTACACGGCTGCCAGCCTGGCTTGTGACATCAATCAGTGGAAGAAACAGACTTGGCAACATTGCAAATCCGGTCGATGCACACTTTCCGCATGAACCACAAGAGCAAAACGACAAAGTTCCGGGCCCTCTTGATAGCTGAAAGGGTCTCAAAATGGATGCTAAGAGCCCCTGTGTCTTAGAAACATCCACATGACCTTGGATTCCAGAAACGAAACGCAAGACTTACCTCAAAGCAAGCACAAAAGGGATCCTTATCTGAGCCTTCACCCCCCACTTGAATGAGGGTGAAAAGTCTATGATTTGTGCACTCCAACTCTTTGACTGTCTGTGCCTGCCCATCTTGACACATATGTCATATGTCTGTTCGTACTGTATATTTGTCATATGTCTGTTCGTACTGCATAAGTGTCAAATTCAGTTGCACAAGCATGCAAATCCTTTCCTGGCCAATCACGCTCTGTGTATCTCGCAGCTTTTGTCGGAGGAAATCCAGGTCCTTAGCTTCAGGTCATACAGCATACCTGTGAAATTCCATGTGTGGCCTCGTGCACCATTTGATCCGCCTTTGTAAAACACAATTTGTTTCCATCATTTGGACATACAGCTAGAAAGCATAAAGTGGAGTCACCAAGACATGCAAGTTCCTGGGTCATCCAGTTTCTGATCACATCTACAAAATCGCTTAAGGTACATGCGTCCTGAAAGACCAGACGTCTGCCGTCGCATCAAAGGGTTCCCAGCTCGTGCGGTTTCCGCCTCATGCAGACCCTTCAACCAACTCGCGCCTCCGCAGCTGATTCATTCTCTCTTTGCCTCTGCTCCAACAGGTTTTGCCTCGGACAGCAGAAGCGTCTTGACAGTGCAAGCACCGAGCGAAAAAAACCGAAAACACTCCAGAATCCTCTCTCGGAATCGGTCAAAAATCATGTTTTTTCACCTCTCAGCACGGGGCAGCAGGGTGTTGACAGCCGTGGCAGAGACCTGAAGAACTAACTCAGCTCATCCATCTCATCGCATGGCACCGCTCCAAACGCTTTGCTTGCATAGACTGGACGAGCTCCAAACGCCAGATGAGTGGTCACAGACCTGACCAAGGACGCTGTGAAGTCAATTGCACGTTCAATTGTTTTTTTCAGGACTAAAGGTGCGGTCGCAGCATCTTTGCCTTTGCGGAAGCCCTAGTGCCCTGCCAAACCATTCTTGGAGCCCCTGTCAACCGGCTGCTGCGCCTCCCGAAAAGAAGATAGCAGAAGGGAGAAGTGGCCGCGCAATTCCTGGCGGGATTCAAGGTTCGAGTGTTTCAATCTCAGATTGTCATCGACGGTGTCCAATTAAGAACAACCAAGATGCTTCATGCAGCCACTCCTCCAACGCCGTCGCAAAGTCGCTTTTGGTCATGTGCTCATTCTGACGCCTCAATGTGGGCCGAATGGGGGGGTCTGCAGAGAATCTGGTCTGCCCGGGTTTGGTTTGCCAACAGATCTTTCATACTCGCAATATATATATTTTTATCTCACTCAAATCTCGAAA